AATAAAGATTTATTTTCTTGCAAGTGGTAATGCTTTCCCTTAGTATTTATTTTATAAAAGCAATAGAAAACTTTTTTCTCTGTGTTTACATAGCCTGATAGCAACACTCGGGGGGGGTTGGAAGAATTCTCCCAACCTCCCCTCGTGTTGCTATCAGGCTATGTAAACACGGAAAAAGTTTTCTATTGCTTAAATATATATATATATATATAATAGCCTTTTTCTAGCAGAATGGCCTGATCATGACAGACCAGCTTGATATTTGGACCTTCTGACAATTTGACGTGGTGATCATGTAACGCTGGTACTATATACCTGTCGGTTGCCTTTATCCTTCATGGGTGTAGAAAGATTAGATGACCATGAGCCTCAACCGATTTTAGTGTACATGTTCTGTTGATGCCTCCGATCCTGTGATTACTACTCTTTCTTGATGATGATGATACTGATAATGATGATAATGATTGTGTGATGATGATGATGATGCTGTAACTGCTGCTGCCGCTGATGTTGATAGTGATGATGATGATGATGGTGGATGTGGTGATGATTATGCTCGTGATGATGACAATGATAATGGTCATAATCATGGTCATGCTGCTACTTCTGATGATGATGATTATGATGATGATGAACATGTATGGTGACGATTATGATGATGGCGATGATGATGTTGATGGTAATGATAATGCTGTTGATGATGATGATGGTGACGATTATGATGATGGCGATGATTATTTTGATTGCGCACAACCAGTCCTTTCGCAGAGGTGACCATGGCAACCGGGCCACAGTCCATTGCCCACCTGGCACCTATCACACCTTAAGGGGTGGAGATACTCACCATTGCACCCTTGTTGAGAGAGTTGAGAGGTGGTTGGGGGGAGGGGGATATTTTTAACGTTTGCCCAAACAAAAACACAATGACAAAGCTGCCACACTGCAAACCCTGCCAATACCCACACCAACGGCTCCCCCCCCCCAACGCTGTGCGGTGGTGAAACCGCTGACCCGTTGGACTCGGTTTTAATTTTGCCTAAATTACATCCAGGCTTATTAAAACAAAGTCATTTTTTCGGTGCCAACTGCGATCTCTTGAGATGCCTCAAACAAACTTGAGAGGAAACCTTCTAACTAGTTCTGATACATAAGTGTTTCTTTTGAGGTCGCTGCTAATGTTCAGTCCTAGTATTTTAGCACTGGACACTATCTCTAAGGCCAAGTTTCGGCTATTTGCCACTATAGGATCAAAGTCTGAGTTGTTATTTGCAAAACTGATCCTATCTCTACTTACTTCCACATGTCAGCAGTCGTATCATGATCATTAATCACGGTCAAAAAGAGCCAGGGACCCAGCTTGGTCCCAAGGGTGGAATGCTTTCAGGTCTGTCTTTCATATCCATAAAGGTTCTTACTAGTTCTTATAATATTAATATCATAATGATTATCATTATCATTATAATCATTATCACTATCACTATCACTGTCACTGTCACTGTCACTGTCACTGTCACTGTCACTGTCACTGTCACTGTCACTGTCACTGTCACTGTCACTGTCACTGTCACTGTCACTGTCA